GAGATCAACTCATTCTTCTCATTTTTCACTACCGTCATCCCTCCCTTTTTCGGTACACAGTGCACTGGGCTAACCCAGTTGCTATTAGAGATGGGGAATATGATTCCCGCATCTAACCATTTAATCACTTCCTTTTTCATCACTTCTTTCATGTTGGGGTTCAACCTTCTTTGATGTTCTCTGGAAGGTTTGTGCCCATCTTCCAGCAGAATCTTATGCATACAGAAGGCCGAGCTGATCCCCTTAATGTCTGCAATGGTCCACCCAATTGCAGTCTTGCACTCAGTTAGTACCTGCAAAAGTTGTTCTGCTTGCACATCTAACAAACTGGATGAGATAATAACAGGTAGAGTTGAGTTAGGTCCTAAGAATGCATACCTGAGATGAGATGGCAGTGGCTTCAGCTTTGGTGGCTCTTCTATTGAAGGCTTAGCTGGAGGAGTTTTTCTTTCCTCCAAGTGCAAAGGCTCAAACTCCAGCTCCCTTTTCCAAAATCCTTGGCCTTCAAGAGCAAGTACCCACTCTGCCAAGTCTTCACCATTAGCTTCATCTAAATTCATGAGACAAGCTACTAGAGGGTCTTTAAGGTTCAATGTTGCATCGTCCTCCTCCAACACTACATCCACCGCATCTATTAGAGAGCAACTGGCAAATTCACTGGGTTTGCGCATAGATTTCTGCACGTTGAATGTTATCTCTTCATCGTTTAATCTCATTTTGAGCTCTCCGGTTTCACAATCAATTAGAGCTCTCCCAGTGGCCAAGAATGGTCTTCCCAAAATTATGGGAATTTCCTCGTCAACCCGACAGTCAAGGATGACAAAATCTACTGGAAACACAAACTTCCCAACCTGCACCAATACATCATCTAGAATCCCGGAGGGCTTTTTCACAGTTCGGTCAGCCAGCTGTAATAGCATAGACGTGGGTCTAGCTCTTCTAATGCCTAGCCTTTTGTAGATAGCTAGGGGTATAAGGTTTATGCTTACTCCCAGATCACACAGTGCCTTAGCAAATGCAAAGTTGCCTATTGTGCAAGGATTGTGAAACTCCCTGGTTAAGACAGCTTCTCAGCTATGGGTCTCGTCACAGCAGCACTGCAAGTCTGAGTTAGTGTAACCGTGGCCAAGTCTTGAAAGTTGAACTTGCGGGACATCAAGTCCTTTATCATCTTTGCATACCAAGGCATTTCCTTTAAAGCATCGATCAATGGAATGTTTACCTGAATCTGCTACAACATCTCCAAGAATTTCTTGTACTGCTCATCTTTTTGATATTTAGCCAATCTCTATGGGAATGGTGCTGGAGGTCGCTTCTTCCCTGTAATTTGGTTTTTCTCTTGTTCGCGCACTGCTTCTACTGTCGGTTCCGGTGCAACTTCAGTCTCTTTCTCAACCACATCTTCCTTGTTGGTGTTTTCTTGCGCATTCTGTACCGTCACCTCAGTTAAACCTGCTGAACCATCTATCTCAATGGGTACTGGCACCAATGTCTCAGTCGGCCTGCTTTCGCGAGCAATTTCTTGCTCCAGATCTAAGTCCCTACCATTTCGGAGACTCACTGCAATCAGCTACTTCGGGCCCTGATCTTTTGGATTGATTTCGGTGTCTGCAGGTAACGTCCCATGAGGATGATTATTTAGGGCCATGGAAATCTGTCCTAACTGGATCTCAATATTTTTAATCGATGACTCATGTGAGTCTACTCTGTCAGCTAGCTTTCCACTGGACCCAATCACTTGTTGCATCATACCCTCGAGTTTAGCAAACCCATCTTCATGTCTCACAATCTGTTGTTGTGGAGGTTGTTGATAAGCCTGCTGCTGATTTTGCTGGTTGTACCCTTATTGCCTTTGGTAAGCACCATTTGCCCCTGTGGTCGCATAGCCCCATGATTATTGTTGTTATTGTACTGCTGCTGAGCTGGTCTGTATTGTTAATTTTGCTGACCCTAATTCTGACCATCTGGTCTCGGTCCCCCGTATTGCCCACATAATTCATGTTCTCCTGATATTGTTAATTCTCACCTTCAGCACTCCATGAGCAGACATATGGCTGATTAATGCATGATGTGCATAGACCCCCATTAGTTGCATCAACTATGTGTACCTGCTGCAAGAATGAGAATGGTCTAGGGTTATGGTTTCTCCTCTTGTCAGAATCCTTTCCGCTATGTTTGCTATAAATTTGCCTAAATCTTCTTTATCGATCCTGAGCACTCTGACTGTCGTAACTCTCTCCCAAGTAATTACAACAATATACTAGACATATTCTCCCGAATTACGCTAGCTGGCCTTAGTTACAGCTCACTTAGATCGCACCCAAGGTTTCGTTATCCCTAATCCCACCTTTAAACCCTTCGTATTGATCCCTCATATACGTTAGGAGTGGTGTTATTCAATAACTACCTAAATATACACTCTCTCCGTACTAAATAGGCACAGCCGATTGAGGGCCCTTCAATCAACAGCAATCACAATATAGTTGAACAAATAGAGAAATTATTAAGGCAAATCTATATTAACATATCAGAAATTCATCCTCCAAGAGGTTCCATCAAAACCCTAGATTAAATGTTTAGCTACTCATGGTAAAACAAGATAAAGCCATAAAATAATTCATAATTCACAAAATAATGATAAAAGGAAGAATAATGAAAAACTCTAATGGTGTCTTGATCTTCTCACACTTGTTCTTGCCTCCAATTGAGTCTAAAAACAAGCTTTTTTTTTTTTTTAACTTGGGCGAGTTTGTTGAGTTTATATAGGGTTAGGATAAGTTTCCCACGCTTTGCACTTTGGCCCCTAGACTTTCTTGGCATTCTCCAGATCGACCGCGGTCGCGGGCCAACTGAAATAACCTTTGTAGATGCCTCTAGTGGAATCGAAATAATATTCCTATGTCATGCACTACTTGCAAATGCCATATCAAGAGGTATGATATTGTTAATAATAACAACAACTGGTGTACCAGCAACGATTTTATTATGAGGTAGTACAAATCACTTCAAATTTGATATACCTCTTCAAATAACTGAAATAACCATCACAAATATCAAATCAGAGCAATAGTGCTAAATTTATAAGGAATGCAAAAGTGATAATATGAGATGAAGAGCTTTTGGTTAAGCGTCAAATGATTGAAACAATCGCTCACAGTTTTAGAGATATATTGGATATCGATGAACCGTTTGGTGGAAAAGTAATAGTTTGGAAGGTGATTTCTGTCAAGTACGATCAGTAGTTTCAAAATTAACCAAAGCAGAATTTGTAAAAGCTAGCTTGCCAAAATTATAGTTATGACCTCAAATGAAAAATATTCAAATGACAAGAAATATAATAATAAGAATAGATCCAACATTCAGTGATTTCTTGCTTCGTGTAGGAAACGGAGAAGAGATTCCAATAAAAGATAATTTGGTTCATCTAGAACACTTGGTTATCAACTCCAATGGTAATAGTAGTGCATTCAATAAGGAAAATATTTTCATCATTAGATTAAAATGCAATTTATGCAAATTACATGATAGAAATTAAAGAGCTATCCTAGCTAGCAAAAATGAATATGTTGATCAACTAAATAAAAGGTTGATTGCTAAGTTTTATGGTAAAAATAGAATATTTTTCAGTTCTGACTTAGTAGAAGATGACACCACAATAACTACCAAGATGAATACTTAAATACTTTAATACCAAATGGCCTTCTACCATACATATTTGTTGTCAAGTTCATTATTTCTTACGTATGTTACTGTCGCCATATATATAATAGACTAAGTTAAAGTTGATCTTCTATTGCATATAGGTTGATTTTGAAGAAAAATATGCCCGTCACGCTATTGAAAACTTAGATCCACTGAATAGCTTATATAATAGTACACATATGGTATATAGAAGTTTTGACCATAACGTCATACATGCAGAACTTATGATATTGAGCAATGTGCTTCTAAGTACGTGTTTATCCCCGAATTTAACTTTTGTCTTTCGAAACTAGAGAATATCCTTTTAAATTTGTTTGAAAATAATTTTCAGTATGTTTATGTTTTGTAGTTATAATAAATAAAGCACAAGAACAAACATCCTAAATATTGAACTATATTTACCACAATATTTCTTACACGAATAACTATATGTTGCACTTTCAAGAGAGATATCAATATAAAGAAGTGTTCGGTAAGATACCATCACATTAGATAACTTTATACCATAATACATAATTATCTACTTAACATGACTAAAATTGATCATTTATGTAAGTTCTGATGATATCCTTTCATTTTGAAATCACGTATTATGCTAATGTAATAATATTTTTCAGCATTTAGATGATTGTTGCAATAATCATATATAAAATTTCTCTCATTAATTAAAATTTATTGTTCCTTCATAATAAATATATATTTAAACCATCATGTGCCATTATTAACATGCAGCGCACATTTATAGATACTAGTAGTATAATAAATATTCAACCATACATTTTAAGTTTTCTCTTTCTTTTTGCTAATGCATGCATCGCATCAAGTCTAACGACCTATTCCCTTCGTCCCATTTTAACTGTCTTTTTAACTCTTTTCATATCCAGTAAGAAAAACAATAAATACAAGGTATAGTTTACCAAGCTGCCCTTGTTAAATGTTTTTTAAAATTGAGCAATATTAAAAAAATTACTACTACTTATAGTTGAAAAATAATTAACAAATTTAGTGTTGAAATCCTAACATAATAATTATTTTAGGATAATTATTTGAGCTTAAGCGACAACTAAAATAGGACAGATGGAGTACTATATAGTTACCAAATTCAGTGTGAATATGAATTTCGCTATTTATACTAATCACCTCCCCCTCTCTTTTTTCTTCAAGCAAGGTCCCTTAAATAGAGCGATGTAGGTGGAGAGAAAATAGTAATACGTGTCAAGTTAATATTATCTGTTGAATCTATAAACCATTTACTCATAACAAACTTAATCCACCAATCATGAGTGATGCATCTCACTTAGTGCAAACATTCATGTTTCTATGTATCAATTCTTACCCTGAAAATTAAAGAACAAAATAAGAAGAAAGAAGAAAAAGGTAATAAATAATGGGGAATGCGGCAGTTTTGAACAACACCTCATCAACATCTACTACGCAGAATATATTGTGCTATGATCCAGAAGATGTCTCCTCCAATGGTTACAAAGTCCGTAACCCTTTAAAGTTTCCAGCACCTCTTATGGTATTTCAGCTTGCTGTAATCTCATTAACCTCTCTCATTATTGATGCTGGCCTCAAGCCTTTAGGTCAACCTTCCCTCGTCGCCCAAGTTCTTGTAAGTACTTTTCTTTTCATTTTTTGGATCCATATCTTAGTAGAAATTAAAATACATAATAGCCTCTAAAATGTTTTCTTTTCATTGGGCCATTCACATTATTCAAAATCCATAAGCATGTTATACTGAAAAGTCGATTCCTATTTTTACTTGTCTTTTGATTTATTTGTTAAAAAACTTCCATTCACTCAGGGTGGTATAATATTTGGACCATCACTATTGGGACATCTGGAATTAGTGAGAGAAACCATGTTCCCGACTAGAGGTGTTATGGCATTAGAAACTGCAGCAACATTTGGTGTTCTGTTCAATCTTTTCGCCATAGGAGTTGAGTGTGACTCGAAAAGGATGTTCAGGCCAGGGAAAAAGGCCGTTATCATTGGTGTCACTGTAATGTTCACCTCACTGGGATCCACTATGGCGCTAGCGATGCTTATAAAACATTTCGTCGTTTTGGATCCTCTACTTGCAAAAGCTCTGCCTATTGTAGCAGCTTCACAATGTGTAATTGGTTTTCCCAACGTATGTTCCCTTCTTAAAGAGATGCAACTTCTCAATACTGACCAAGGCCGCCTGGCCACTTCTTCAGCTATGTTTTGTGATATAATTGGCTTAACCTTGGCTTCAGTAGGTTTTATAAAGTTGCAGTTGGAGAAAGAACATACTGTGGCGCAGAAAATGGGTTCCATTCTCTCCCCTTTGATCTTAGTCATATTCACAGTTTTTTCCATTAGGCCTGCAATTAAGAAGACATTAAGACTTAGACCAGAAGGAAAACCTGTTGGGGAAAACTACTTTGTTTGTGTCTTAGTACTTGTATTGTTGTACATATTAACTGCTGAGACGATCGGGCAGCACTACCTATTTGGATCACTTGTGTTAGGCATGGCCATTCCTGAAGGCCCGCCTTTGGGCGCAGCTTTGATCAGAAAACTTCATTATCCAATTGGCAAGGTTTTGTACCCGGTTTTTCTCACCACCAGTGGCCTCAAAACAGACATTTTCACCATTCATTTTAAGTCCCTATGGGTTATTGCCCTTCTAGTTCTCTTTGGCGTCCTCGTCAAGATTGCAATAATGATGATCATAACTCGCTACACGGGCTTAACCTTTCAAGACTCTGTCATTCTTGGTCTGATGCTGAATGCTAGAGGCATCTGTGATGTTGTTTTCTTTAACATATGGAGAGTTTCACTGGTGACATTTCATCAACTTTTCTTTTTCTTTTCCCCAAATTTTTCCAAAAAGATTTACTAAATGATTTGATATCTTTCTAATCTATGCTAGGCCCTATCAGATGAACACTTTGCAGTGGCTATCATGCTCTCTGTTGTTTTAGTTATGGTGATCATTACACCGCTAATAAGATTTCTCTTTCGTGCACTCGAACAACAAGCTCCAACGATGAGAAGGACAATTCAGCATTCAAAGCCTGACTCAGAGCTAAGGATATTGGTCTGCGTTCACGATCTACAAAGTGTGCCAACTATGGTCAACTTACTTGAAGCATCCAATGCAACAGAACAAAGCCCCATTTGTGTCATAGCTCTCGTCCTCATTGAGCTCGTGGGTAGAGCCGCTCCTCTTCTTATCACGCATAATCATTCCCAGGGAGCCATCCCTCAGGATGCTTCAATATCATTGCAAATCATCAATGCACTTAGACAATATGAGCTTGCCTTTGAAAGTTGTGTCACGCTTCAACCATTCACCGACATCACACATTATGAACTAATGCCTGAGGACATTTCTCGCTTGGCCCTGGACCAGAATGCTACCATTGTGATCCTACCATTCCACAAGCATTGGGAAATTGATGGTTCCATTGGAACAGTTAGTCGTGCCATCCAAACTATCAACACGAAAGTCCTCAGAAAAGCGCCTTGTTCTGTGGGCATACTAGTCGATCGTGGAATCCTAAAGGGATCCATGGCGACACTAAGCAATCAGGGCAACATTTACCATGTTGCTGTGGTCTACATTGGAGGTCCCGATGATGCAGAATCACTAGCCTATGGTGCCCGAATGGCTAGACACAAAAACGTGTCGATAACAATCATCCGTTTCCTTATGTTCGGCTATGACAATGCCAGAGAAAGAAAGCTAGATAATAGCTTGATTGAAGCAGTCCGATACGAAAACTCAACGAATGAGAATTTCGTATACGAAGAACACGTTACGAGAGATGGGGTTGGGCTATCTGCTTCACTTAGGGGATTAGAAGATAGATTTGATTTAATAGTTGTGGGGAGGCACCATGAACATTCTCCTTTGCTAGTAGGACTTGGTGCATGGAGTGAATGTCCAGAACTTGGTGTGGTGGGAGATTTCTTGGCTTCAACAGATATTGGATTCACAGCATCAATTCTAGTGGTGCAGCAGCAGAGAGTTAGAGGGAAGTTGATGGGCAGAACAATGAAACCAGTAGTTAACAATCAAAATGGACAATATCCTGAAATGAATAATGCAATTAATAATGGGATATCAACACCAAGAGTCTCAGTTTCTAGTGATCATCCAAGATGGGAAATCACTATAGATAGAACTAATTAGGTTTCTGCATGTACAGTACAACCTCCCTAGTTTTGCTCGTTGTACAGTACTATGAATTAAATACAGCACTAATATTTATTTACAGGATTATACGTAAAAAAATACAGGTTCCATTGATTTATGGGTTAAAAATTAGTATTTCCCTCTAGTTTTGTATCCCATTACCTTGTTTCCTTCTCCTCAATTCCTTCTTACAGAATTATTACTTTAGAAAAGACGTAAAAATCACGAAAAGTATGTTACAAAATTCAATAAAAAGAAAAAAGATAATAATAAAGAAACACATAAAGAGAAACACTTAGGGGTCGTTTGGTTCAGCCGCCTATTATATTGGTCTATCCCGCCTATTATATGGTACCCGATATTAGCTAATATCGATAATCAAACATGAAATAATTATAATTCTAAATTTTAAATTAAAATAAATATTCTTTTTTGGGTAACCAAATGACCGCTTAAAAGAAACCCTAATGTGATAGTCAGAGTCATGACACTCCAAATCCTATGAAAAGTAAATAACAAGTCATTTAAAGCAAAATGGGCAAGAAAGTTTCAGAGTAATCTCAAATTAAATGGAGATATGAGCTTCCCATTCTTACCAAACTGTATGCTGTATATTTATTATGGAGTAGAAACTCGTCATCTTTCATATTCTATTCGTTCACTTTTACTCGCCTACTATATTAAATATGTATTATCAGCTTTACTTCTCAATTTTAGTAAATCAAAGAGTAATATTTTTTTTTCTCTTTTCTTGTTTTACCTTTATCATTAACTAATCATTCCCCAAATTATTTCTCAATACTTAAAATGCTTTCATTATTATGGGTAAAATTATAAAAAATATACTTTATTTTTCTTAAAAGAGTGTAAAATCAGAAATTGACAGCTAAAAATGAACAGAGGTGTCTTTCTCTTTTGTAGCTTTTGAAAAATTTGGTGACAATAATATTTACTAATAGTTGACTTTTAGTTTAAGAAGATTTTTTTTATCACATCCAAAAAGAAGAAGAGGTGTTATTTCTATAAGCTAAAAGGGTCAATTGCAATTTACTCTACCAGTTTATTAGTTACATCGTTACCGCTAAAAAACGTTGGGGTGTCGAACTGGAAATAGTTATTACACTTAATCAAATCATTTAATTTAAAAACCACAAATTAAAACAATAATACATACTCTATTATTTATCATACTATATACTCGTGCGCTGCGCGGGCCATTTCAATATAAAAAAGAGCAGAGAGAATTAACAAAATATATATATGTATTGCATAATAAATTTAGCAATCACATTCAAAAAAATTAAACCAAAAATAAATAAATAAATTTCATCGAGTTGTCTCTATAAAATTGTTGCTAGAGAAGATTTCATTGTTCTATATATTTTTTTGTTGACTTTACTATAATATTAGTTATGTTATATAATCCATTGTGAATTTTCTCGTCATAATTCAGAAGAAACGTTCTCATCTTACTATTTGACGAAATATCCTTTCTTAATATAAAAGGTATAATATAGATTTTTTCTAATTTTAGAAAAATTATTTATTCACTTTGGTTTTATTGCCAATTTTTTTTAGTTATTACAGGAAGAACGAAAATAGACTTTTATGTTGAAGTCTTTCCCGTTGGAAGGCTGGGGGGCGCGACTTTAGCCTTAAGTTAGGTTGGGCTGTAGTTCTTGTATTGGGCGAACCCAAGCGTTAAATAGCGCCGTTTAGTGGCATGCAGGGAGTAGTCGTCTTGTTGCTGGTAGGTGCGACTATGTGAGTTGACAACAATACACCGCGGTATGTGTGAGTCAAGATTTTACATAGTGATCCGAAGGAGCTTCCCTTCATTCATTACTAAGCCAAAGTCCCAGGTCTCCGATGTGAGCACGTGATTTTTGCCCCACATGAATTACTCCTACAGAATCCCAAAGAATTGGATTTTTCTTTTAATTATTGGTTATTTTAGGAATTATTGTAGAATCTTTCTGATTATTTGTATTTTTTTGTGCATGTTTAATTTTTATTTAATTCATAAAAAATACAAAAAATACATTGCATTTGCATTTAGGATTTAATTTTGCATCTTAGGTTTTAATTAGTAAATTAGTTGTTTTATAAAATATGAAAAATCACAAAAATAGTTCATGTTGTATTTAACTCTTTAATTTTGAATTTCATAGCTTTTTCTTTTAATTTAGGACTTAATTAATTATTGTAAATACTATGTTGAGTAATTAATATAATTTGGTAGTTTAATTTAGTTTTAAGAATTAATTTAGGTTTTTATTTTTAATTTGAAAAGAAAAAGAATGTGGAAATTGAAAGAAAAGGAAAAAGGAGATGAGAATGCTGATTTTTGGGCTTTCAATTAAAATTCCCCCAGGCCCAAACGATTTTGCTCAGTACCCGGTCGATCCAAGCCCTTGCCATACCCTTAACCTGGTCCAAACCCCCGCCTAAGTCAAACGACCATGTTTTCTTCTTTCAATCTGAGCCGTCGATCTCCCTTGATCGAACGGCCCAGAACTGGCGTACCTGATTGCATATAACTGTCCGAAAGGCTCGCCCCCCCCCCCCCTCAATTCACCTCATTCCTTCATCTCCTCTTCAGAGACCTCAAGAATCCTAGAGCGCCGCCACAAAACGCCAACCCTCTCCGGTGGCGCCGCTGCCCCAAATCGGCCCCAAATTAACACCACAAAACCCTCATGGCCTCCTATTTCCCAGTCCCTTACTAGCATTCCTCGAATCCCCCCTACATCTTTTCGAATTTCAAATCTGAGTTCGAAAGCCTAAAAGCCCAAAACGCCTTACCCTCGAATTGGTGGCATGCAATGCCTAATCCCCGAGTTTCCTGAGTTTCTCAAGGTTGATTTAACACAAAGCAATGATGTTCGCTTGTTCTTGACAAAGAACAAGCGATTAGCATTATTTTGGGTTAAATCGGAGTGTCCAGTATCAGTTTCAAGTTGTGTAGGTAAGTTTTCTTGTATTTTTCTGTCCGTTTGTGTTCTTTCACCTCTTATTCCTCTTCTTTTCTTCTCCCTTTCTTTAGTTAGTTTTTACTTTGACTGAAATTTGATAAAGGTTCAAACCTAGGCTATTCATTTTGATTGGTTTGTGGTCGGATTTATTCTGTTTGTTTTCCAGTTTCCTTTTCAATTTTAAAGAGTTGTGCACTGATTTCGTTTATTCATCTGCTTAGCTTTTATGTTAAATTTCTGATTCTTGCCCTTCTGGTTTTAGTTTCGTAGTTAGTCTAATTAGGTTTATTTCAACTTGATGATGTAGTTAATTCTGGCTCATTATTTTTTTTTAAAAGGAAAATCAGTCATTTAGTTAGCTTTTAGTTTTGAAAACATTCAAGTCATTTCTTCTTCTGTTTGTCATGAATTACTAAAATGGATTTCTGATTTGGTTTGGGCCTTGGGTTCATTTCTGACCCATTTTCAAAGGGCAGCCCATTCATGTCTGGTTTAAGTTATTTGGTCAACTTGACCCATCTGGTTACAAGGGTAAATAACAGGGGTTTAAGGGTTAGTTTAGGAATTTTAGGTTAGGGAATCTGGTGTAACCAACTTAGGAAATTTCCTGGAAGGTGGGTTTGTGACTAACTTAGAAAACTGATTTTTAAACTAAGGACCAAGTAGCAAAAACAAAAATTGAAAAAGGTTTAATGGGCAAATCTGAAGTTCATTTCTGCTGCCCTAAAGCTTCTCTATAAAAGGGTAATTGCTTCACTCTCAAGTCAGATTTTGGAGAATTGAAAAAATACTAAAAATTGAAAAACGGCTGAGTTTGAAAAGCTTTGAAAGAACACTGAAATTCCTGCATTTTTTTGGTCAAAATTGGTTCAATTCTGCCTTAAAACTTCCTAGTTGATCAAAGTATTTGAGTCTTCAAAGATGGGTGTTCATTTGGGTTCTCTACTGGTTTGAAGAAGCTGGTTTTTGCTTGGTATTGCTGGGTTTTATAGCTGGTTCTGCTGCTGCTGTTAACTCTTTATTTTTCTATTGCATTCCAGGTATTTTTCCAAACCATGGACAACAAGTGATTGTGAACATGTATTTGGAGTGGAAACCTGATTGAATACAAGTTGTATTTGAATTTATTTCTTCTGTTTCTTCCACTTCTTTAGCATTCTGTAGTAAATCTTATACTATACATGTTATTTCAGTTTTTCCCCTGTTATTAATATGTTGTGAAAATGAATCCATGCTGTTGAGAGTTTGGAGTATGATTTTTGGATTTAAGAGGATGGTATGTTAATTTCCTGGATTCTGTTACTGTTGGTATTGAGAAAGGATTTAGTTGAGGTTAAATTTCATATGTTTATTTGTGAATTAGCTTAGAATTGAATTTAAGCATGAACACTTGATGTTTGGAATACTTGCTGTACAAATAACTATGTATGGGAATCATAATAGCGATTTTAGTGTTCAAATGAATGGTGTTTAAATTTTTCTGCATTTTGTACTTCAGTTAGCATGTGCTTCTTGCTTACAATACTGAAACCGTGCAAATTTATTTGAGTGTGGACCCTGGAAGGGCTGTTTAGAGCCTAAGGCTTTTGGTGCCCAAGTTGGTTTCCCCCGCAGGGACTCGATCTTGAGTCCATGTCGTTGGGTGTTCATTCTTTCACTAAATTTGGGCTCATTTTGGGCCCAAGCCTGAAGGCCCTTGTGAATAGGAGAATTGTATGCTTTGTCATGTGTGGGCCTGTTTCTTTTCGATCCAGTCATCTCAGTTGGTGACTACTGCTGGCCCAAACTATCTTTGAGTAATTGGAGCAGTTTTACTAATGCAAGTCCGCTGATTATCAATTTAGCTTAAACATTTGCTTAAAAGTAAAATTCAAATGCTCTTAGTCTTTAATTAATTAGTTTTCCTTTAATTAGTTTGAGGTGTGCCATGATCAACAAAATCCCTAAGTCCATGGCCCTCGTATAATTAGTAATAACTCTGTTAGATCGAGGTGTGCAATTATTAATGTCACGATCCAAAATCCGCTAAGGGTCGTGATGACGCCGGACACTACTGTCAGGCAAGCCAACCAAATTACTTAATCCAAATCTCGTTTTAATACTTTTTAAAATCCAT